AAGTGGTGTTTCGGATGCAGATATTAAATCTGCTTGCAAGGATCAGCTCAAACAAGTTACTGTGAATGCAACTCTTGTTGGTGTCATTCGTTGTTTGATGAAGAAAGAAGAGAACCATTGACATGACTGTGAATATGATCATTTATTTGATAGTTTAATACACAATGCACACAATTTTGCCAGAATTCTTATTCCATCAGATACCATTACCATTTTATATTCAACTTCGAGAGACTTTGGCATGAATGCAGGGCAGAAAAAACAGAAAAAAGCAGGAGCTGAATGCGAATGAGAACGAGGCGCGAAAGGAGTTTCGGAAGTGTGAATGATTCGGAGATGACTTTCTGTATGCGGTTTATTGTATTGACGAAACGAAACGAAACGGGATAACTCACATAATGATAATTAAACTGTAATCAGGGAAAATGGGTTTTATACGCACAATATTTACAAAATATTTGCCGAAAATAATAATATTTAATACGCATATGGCTCATTTCGCTAAATACAGACAATCGAAAATCTGTAATCAGATTAAGGTCTGACGACACTTGACCAGTATATCTACCTTTCAGTCGTGTATTTAACACCATAAATCATTTGTCGAAAATAACGGGATTTTAATTAGTGAATGGTTCGTTTATACATGACTGAAAGGTAAAAATACTGCTCAAGTTTCGTCCGATAATTGTGATTATTGTACCTGTAAGACCCTTGTTTGGCTGCGTGATTGCAGATTTCCGATTATCTTTAATTAGCGAAACAAACCGTTTACTAATTAAAATCCTGTTGTTTTCGGCAAATGTTTTAGGGTGTTAAATACACGAATGAAAGGTTAATATATTCAATAGAATTGTGAAAAGATATCTTATTGATGTCATGGATTATAGAAGAGATTATGTAGATTAGATTTATTTTCTGTATTTACTTTAAGTTCAAAGGTTTCATTTTTTTGTATTTTCATTAAGTTTCAAAAAGTTTCATTTTTGTACTTTCTCTTAAGTTTTAAATTCTCTGTTTCCTTTTTAGTCCCTGTTCGGACGTAGTCCGAAAACGGGGACTTATGTTTTGCCCTGTGTGCGTTCGTGCGTGCGTCCGTGATCACCTGTATCTCGAACATGCATGGACCGATTAAGTTCAAACTTCACTCATACATCACACATTATATGGGACATATACACATGCATTTTTTTCATGATCGGATTAACGATAGCCGAATAGCGGCCATTTTAAGGCTGAAAATGCATCAAAATCACACATTTTCACCGTTCCGGACCCGGATCTCAGTTATGCATGGACGGATTTTGTTCAAATTTGGTACATACATTAAACATAATAGGACCTTAATGCACGTCATTTTTTTTTTGGATCGGGTTTGAAATGGCCGACTGGCGACCATTTTGTTTTAAAGAATTCAGTTCTGGATCCGTATCCGAGACATGTCTGGATTGATTAAGTTCAAACTTTACACACACAAGGTACATCATGTCACAAATATGTATGTGCATTTGTTTCATGATTCGCTTAACAATAGCTGAATGATGGCCATTTTAAGGCCGAAAATGCATCAAAATCACGTATTTTCACAATTCCGGAACCGGATCTCAGTCATGCATGGATGGATTTTGTTCAGATTTAGTACAATGTGTTGTACATATGCAGGTGCATTTCGGTCATGATCTGCTTTGAATGTATATTTCACTCAAATATGAACAGAACGGGGACGTGTCATTGACAATGACTTGTTCATTTATATAGTATGTGCTTTTTCCAATAATTCTTATTGCACCTCCTAATTACTAATTAGTGAACCCCTGATGAAAAAGGGTAGCAACAAATAAATAAATAAAAATACTGGTCAAGTTTCATCTCCGGCGGTGGTTTATTGCTTAAATATTATTGTCAGAAAATATTTTTTAAATATTGTGCGTATAAAACCCATTTTCACAGAATACAGTTTAATTTTTATTAAGTGTGTTATCCCGTTTCGTTTCGTTTTGTTTCGTTTCTTCGATTACAATAAGCCTCCGTATGCTCGTGTTGGAAGTGGCGGGAAAGTCCCGGTGGGAATGTTCAGGTAGACGTTTGCGGCCTGGTCGGGGCTATGGGTCTGCCAATTTGGGGCCCATGGCGGTGTATGGGAGTGGTTGTTGCAAGAGGGGGCCTACAGCGGGCCTATTGAAGACATTAGCATTTTAAAGGGGGCCGATTTGCTTCCTGCGTGGGCCCGCTTTAGAAGGTGAAAAACACTCTGCTTCCCCGCTAAATTTGGAACGCACATGGGGTAGTAACAGCATATAGAGTGACCCCAGGGGAATTGAACGACAATATTGCAGTATGAGACACTGTTTTGCTAATAGTTATTAAGTTTTTCTTTCATTTGAGCTAAATTTCTATTGTGACAAGAATCAATAAGGGACTGGACAGAAAGTACAGGAGGGGTAAGGTTGGTGTTATTTTTGGTGGGGGGGGGGTCACTGATTTTCGTGCAAGTGTTGAAGGAAGGGTTACAGTAATACCATGTACATGTAGATAAGATGAAACGCAGAGTGTAAAATTTTAAAGTTGATTTAAAAATTAAAATAAATTTTGTTTAAATCGTATTCATTTTGAAATATTTATACATTTGTTTTTCTGAAGGCATGCATGAACATTTTGTATGGAAATTTATAGAATATTTATAAAATTTTTACCTAGAAGACCTATGTACTGCTTTGAAATCCAAAGAAGATGTTTTCATTGTAGAAACCTTACCATGAGTCTAGATTACAATCAGTACATTTTAAATTTAAATTTTAAATTTTTTAACAATTTTAAGATTTCTTGGAATCATGCTGGACTACCAGATTTAGTCCTATATAACTATAACATTAAAGGGAATAAAACTGTGGTCATTATGAACATTTCATAAATATACATATTATCCAGAAATGGTATTGTGATATCAACCTTAGTTCTAGTTAATGAGATCAACATTATTCAATCAGGTGTTGTCACAGTTGTTATGTCACATGAAAGCATATAAACGCATTGTATGGGCATAGACAATGTATAGCACTTGAGCCAATCAATATTGAGTATTTGAATGGAAGCTAAAGATCAGCGTTTACAATTTTTTATAAATACACTTACATGCAAAGCCCTAGCTTTGTGCGTTTAACTGTATTGGATAGTCCACCAGGTTTGGTAGGCGTTTAAAGCAAGTCGGGCTTACAAAATTGGTAGCCCTATAAGAAAAGAATTGGTGGTGTGTGTACCTTGGGCTATCCTAATTTTAAGCTCTATATTAACAATTGACATGCAGATGATGCTTGGAGCCCTTCAGGAAACATCCACATAGCTTAATGTATTGAATATTGAAATCCACTATTGGTAATACCAGATGGGAGAGTACAGATAAAACATGTGAATTGTTAAAGGGGAACCGCTCAATCCCATGGATTGCACAAAAGAATCATGGGACACTATTGTTTATGTTGTTTACAATGTTAATCTATCTTTTGTTATCCATTGTTATTTTAATCCAGAAAGTAAATTTGTTGTGAAATTAATCTCAACTGGAAGGTGCCCCTTTAATTGATGCTTGTTATAACTGCATTGTCCTATTTCATGACCCAAGTTTGCACAAACTCTGCAGGCAGGCCAAGAAAGTTTTTCTTTAATTTCTTATTGGGGAACTGTAGATTTGCAAAAATGCATGGCTAATATAAGGATAGTATTCTTACTTGAAATAATGTTATATGACATTAAAATTTCAGGATTTTATTTTCCAACAAACTATGTTTAGAATTAAAGATCCAAAAGCATCGCTTGATTTCTACACCAGAGTGATTGGTATGAGGTAAGTAATTTATATTGTGGTGCTAATTATTTATAAGAGATTATTTATGTAGTCAGCAAAGGCAGAACTGTATAGTTACACATTGTTTGTGTTCTAATGCAGAGTGGTTTGTAGAATTGTTTTAATGAATTCTTTAATTTGGATTTGAATGATGATTTCAAATGAAAATAGTTTTGTTATATCATGTTACTGTCTAGTAACTGTGGTTATATTTATAAGAAAAAGACATACCTTTCAGCAGCTACTTACTATGGTTCTGTAACAATTCTTTGTAATAACATTTGTCATGTGGCTTTTCTATTGGCAATCCGCTTCACCAGAATTGCCCGTAAAATCACTTTTGTGTGTGTAGGTGTTTGTGTGTGTGTGATTTTCAGTGTCTTAACGTATTAATTCTTCTGTAATTTTTTTTGCTGGGCCGATTTTGCTCAAACTTGGCAGGCCCATCGATGCCATAGCAATAGCCAAAAAACTTATTTTTGAATAGCTTCACGCCAAATGTATCTCCTCCTAGTAATTTAGGAATAAACATCTTGGACATAGCCCATTATACTCACTCTGCTTGAATGTGGGCACAAAGCTACTATTTGATTTTTTTATATTTTTTTTTATTATCGAGAAATTTGAACCCAAAGTTAGGTTCATCAGGAACAGTTTTTTAAGTCTTCTGTGATTTTTTTGGCTGTGCTGATTTGGTTCAAACTTGGCAGCCAAGTCACACCTTCACTCTAGTTAGACAGTAAAAAAACAAATTTTTTCAATTCCTTCAATTTGAATTATTGATTGTAACATTTTTGTTGTGTTAAAATCAACTTCATGTATTTATTTTCCACCTTTTAGAATGTTGCAGAAATTTGATTTTCCAAATATGGAGTTTACATTGTTTTTCATGGGCTTTGCCAAACCTGAAGAAATCCCCCAAGATGAAAACGAGAGAATTAAATGGCTGTTTACACGACCTGCATGTTTGGAACTTACATAGTAGGTATTTTTGCTGGACTTCTAATAAACATGGTTTGATAATATATCAAAAAGTTACCAAATAGCTCTGTCTGGTCTTTTTTTTTTAATCTTTGAATATGATCTTTCAAAACTTTAGATGTAAATTTATCTACTGGTATATATATTTCTATAATTTTATAATATAATTTTGAATCGAACTGGCTGTATATTGATCTACTGGATAAATATTGATCACCTGGTTACATATTTCACATTTAGGTGGCCTAAGGCCGGCTCAAATTATAAACAAATAAACATGTCGTTTCGCATTCACACAGCCAAAACATCATTATTTAGGCCGGTCTAAAGCGTCATCTCGTTTTTTGAATGCAAATTTGTTACATCAGAACTGTCCAACATGGCAGACCGCAATGTGTTGTTTCGTAATTCTGTGTTTTTCTGTATTAACATAGTGAATCTCAGTGAATACATCAAAATGGTGTCTTCCAAATAATTTGAGTCATGGATGGCATGAACGAACTGTTCTATTTGATTTGAGATATGGTTTGTTTTGAACTGTTGAACGAAAACTTGAGCGACAGTGACAAGACTATAGACACAAATGGTTTTGAGGACATGAAAAAAAAAATTACGAGACTTTCTCTGGCCACTATGATCATTGTTGAATTTGATCTTCCATTCATATAATGATCATTCTGTAGCCAAAATCTTCTCTCCTCTCATACTAATATACATTGTTGTGAATGTGAAAAGGTTTTGAGACTGCAACAAAACTCACGAATCTGATTTGCATATTTAGTCAACATATTCATACTGTAGTCAGGCCAGCCTAACTTGAGGAATAAAATTAGGGCCTAGCTCTCCTTTCCAGGGGCGACTTATTTAGGCCAACCTAAATATTTTGGTTCTTGTTACACACAAAATTTTGGCAAGCCTAAAATTTTATTAAGCTTAAGGCCTGCCTTATTTTCTGACGTGAAACCACCTGTTGATCAACTAGTTACATATTGACCCACTGGCTACATATTGACCCACTGGATACATATTGACCCATTGGTTACATATTGACCAACTGGATACATATTGACCAACTGGATACATATTGACCCACTGGATACATATTGACCCACTGGATACATATTGACCCATTGGTTACATATTGACCAACTGGATACATATTGACCAACTGGATACATATTGACCAACTGGATACATATTGACCCACTGGTTACATATTGACCCACTGGTTACATATTGACCTACTGGTTACATATTGAACCACTGGTTACATACATGTATTGACCCACTGGTTACATATTGACCAACTGGATACATATTTGCCCACTGGTTACATATTGACCCACTGGCTACATATTGACCCATTGGCTACATATTGACCCTCTGGTTACATATTGACCCACTGGTTACATATTGACCCACTGGTTACATATTGACCCTCTGAATACATATTGACCCACTGGTTACATATTGACCAACTGGATACATATTTGCCCACTGGTTACATATTGCCCCACTGGCTACATATTGACCCATTGGCTACATATTGACCCACTGGTTTCATATTGACCCACTGGTTACATATTGACCCACTGGTTACATATTGACCTACTGGTTACATATTGAACCACTGGTTACATACATGTATTGACCCACTGGTTACATATTGACCAACTGGATACATATTTGCCCACTGGTTACATATTGACCCACTGGCTACATATTGACCCATTGGCTACATATTGACCCACTGGCTACATATTGACCCACTGGTTACATATTGACCCACTGGTTACATATTGACCCTCTGAATACATATTGACCCACTGGTTACATATTGACCAACTGGATACATATTTGCCCACTGGTTACATATTGACCCACTGGCTACATATTGACCCACT